TTTTAAAAGCATAATCATCTATCACATGTATTGAAATTAATTTGATAACATGTGATTTTTTTATCAATTCATGCATCCAACTCACGTCTGTATATTGGGTAAAAATCATGTCTAATTAATCATGCATCAGTCGTCGTTAATTTGGTACCATCAATTTGTTGCTTTTGCCCTTAAAGATATAAAATATTAATTGTGCAACGCCTTTTTCTTCTGCTTCTTTAATCACCGTCAAACGTGTAGTGATGAATATTCAGCCTGCAGCATGTCTACCAAAGCCATGTATTGGTTTGTTTATACATCATCCTATGTTCCTGCCTTCAATTTACTTTTAATTGCCAAATTAATTGTTTATTTGGTTTACACGTGAGTTCTATCATCAATTCTGCTGTTTGACATATAATATAGTCTAAACTATTTTTAAAGCTTTTGCTATCAATCTTTATTTATGATTTGATTTGATCATTGCACGTGTCATCCTCATTAATTATTGCCATCATGAATAATTTTTAGTTGTATTCACGTATCTCCGTGTGTAAATTTGGTGAGAAAATTTAATTATTCAGTAATTTCAATTATCGTTCAATTAATCATCAAATTTTTGTTATAAGATTTTGTTGCTCCTGAAGTAGCGCAATATTATAATTAATATTCTAGTAGAATATTACTTGCTCCTGAAGAATATAAATTATATCTTTCGACTATTTGATTAATTATCATATGAAGTTTAATCATGTTCTTCGAAATTAATTATATTTTCTTTTACTTTATCGTGTAGTTAATAAAATGGCAAACATCATAAAACTTGAATTTGCTGCAATTGACATCTCTGGCAGAAATTATTTATCATGGGTACTTGATACTGATATCCATCTTGTCTCAAAAGGTTTGGGAAATAAAAGAAGAAATAAAGAATCCCTGCAAGATCGTGCAAAAGAACTCATCTTCCTTCGTCATCATCTTCACAATGGACTGAAAATTGAATATCTTATTGAGAAAGATTCACATGTTCTTTGGCAAAATTAACTGAAAGATTTGACCATCAAAGGACTATAGTCCTCCCCAAAGCCCGTTATGAGTGGATGCACCTTCGTTTGCAAGACTTCAAAATTGTTAGGAGTACAATTTTGAATTGTTCAGAATATGTTCAAAATTGACATTGTATGGAGAAAAAATCACTGATGAAGATATATTGGAGAAAACTTTTTTCACCTTCCACGTCTCGAATGTGCTCCTACAGCAGCAATACTACGAGCGTGGTTTCAAGAAGTACTCAAAACTTATATCTTGCATGCTTGTTACTGAACAGAATAATGAACTACTGATGAAAAATCATGGGTTACGTCCAACTGGTTCTGTACTATTGCCCGAAGTAAATGGTATTGCATTGCCTGAAGCAAATGCAATATCAAGACAAGGACGTGGACGTGGACATGGATTTGGACATGGACGCAAACGTGGACGGAGTAAACCATGGACGAAATAATCAACAAAATTATCAACAACAAGACAACAATTTCAAAAGGCACAAAGTAAACGAAAGTAGCATACCTAAAAAAGTACATGAAAAAAGTTGTTTTAGATGTGGAATGAAAGGGCATTGGATAAGTACCTGTCGTACAGCAAAACACCTTGTGGATCTCTACCAAAAATCAATTAAGGGAAAGGGAAAAGTGGAAACAAATTTTGCTGACTATGATGGTCCAATTGATGTGACT